AGGACTAGAGTGGGAGCCTTATGGTTAAGAGGGATCTCAGTAGGAGTCTTGCACTCTGAGCAACTGGAAAAAGAATGGTCTGAGTTAATAGTAATGGCATCTTTTCTTGCACAGGGTCTTTGTGTTGCTGCTCACTGTGGTCTCCATCCTGTGGATCCCACTGGTCCAGGCTGGCCAGGGAGGGCAGCTCTTTATTTACATCCAGTCGATCAGCTCCTACCTGCAGCCCCCCGTGGCAATGGTGTTCATACTGGGTTGCTTCTGGAAAAGAACAAATGAAAAGGTAACAGCTGGCCTCACGAGAGTCCTGCAGTTCAGACCACCAGCCTCTTGTAGTGTTTGGGAGAATGAATGCACCCAGACCCCTGCAAAACCCGAGCAACCATTGCCCACACAGGAGGGAACAATTCCCGCTGTTTTTCAAAGACTCCACTGGCATTTCAGAAGGAGTGAGATGGCTGCATCACTCTGTTGCAGGGTGTCCTTCCCAAATCCTGAATCCTGTTAGGGGCTTATTAGCCATCATCTTGTTTATTACATGGACTTGTATTATCTGCATTGGGGCGGGGGGAGGCTACAGGAGGCATAATGAGCCCAGAGAGTGAAGGAACCAGACCAACTGCCATCAGGAGTCCTAAACTCCAGTTTCTCCACAAAGTCTGGTGCTGGGTAAAGGGTAAAGTCTTCCCAAACCGGCCTTTGGTTATGCCGAGTGCAGTTCTTGGCTCCCGAGGATAAAGGCAACCATTGGGATAAAAATATCACTCTTCAAAGTATTCTGGCATAAGACATTATCCTTCCCTTCCACACCAAAATTAATGAACCACTTGACCCCACAGAGGAGAGGCACCAGGCTACTGTAACAGCACCTGTAGACCTTGACAGCAAGAGCAGAAAAGGGAGGGAAAAATAGCTCACCAAAAAAAAAACCAGCAAGGAGAAAGCCTAGCCAGCTTGTAGCCTGGGAATGTGGCCCTGGGTGGATGTTTGCTTCTTGCTCCAATAAAGAATATTCCTTCCTGTCCCAGGGTGCGTTCTGGGGCCTGGTGATCGGGCTGCTGCTGGGCGTCATTCGGCTGGTGCTGGACTTCATCTACCCAGAGCCCCAGTGCGGCGAGACCGACCTCCGCCCAGGCGTGGTGAAGTACATGCACTACCTCTACTTCTCCATGGTCCTGGCCGCCATCTCCACGCTCACCGTGCTGGTCGTCAGCCTGCTCACAGAACCCCCCTCGGAAGAAATGGTGCGTCACCCCTTCAGATTTCTTTCCTTACTTGTAAATGGTTTCCAGGATGCCCCACTCTACATCCATGGGAATAACGTGGGGATCAATAATCTGGAAATGGAAGTTTCCATTCTTTCTTTATTTATGATCACACTTGCGATACCCTGTAACAGTAGTCCCTCCTCTGCTCCAGCGCCCTGCTGCCATTTAAGATTTTGGTCCCATAAATCCACAGTCCCACCCTGGAAACTGGTCAACAGTAGATGCTACAAAGAGTTGTTCTTAAATTCAAACGTGTGTGTTTAATCCATGACAAATTAGCTTTTTCCCTCTATTTTTCCAAGAAATTCCAGCTTCTGGGTCATCTTTATCAACTCTCTTACTAATTTAGTGAGGAACCATTTTTACTCGCAGAAAAGAAAAATCAAGGGCAGAGAGCACACTTCCTCTGGAACAGGTTTGTGCCAGTTTGACTATTTTCAATAGATATGCTGAGGCTACAGAAAAACGTTAATAGCAGAAAGAAGGGCCAGAAGGGACCTTCAGAAATCATACAGCCAACGCATCCTCGCGCTTCAAGACAGGACTAACCTGATGTATTTCTGAAAGACCTGATGAACTTACTCTTAAAAGCCTCCAGAGAGGGAGAATGCCTAGGGAGGTGTGTGATCAGTTTGAGAGCTCACCTGACCTACCAGTAGCAGTTTTTCCTCATCTCCAATCTGAATCCTTCCAGCTTCATGTTGTGCTCATCCCTTTCTGTCCGCCCTATCGTTGATGCTGAGAACATTCCTCTTTAATGAGTCTTTTACATATTTGAAGAAATTTTATCATATTTCCCACCTGTCTTCTCTCCACAATTCCAGTTCTTTGAATCATTCCTCCCTGGCCACAGTTTCCATTCTTTTGCTCCCTTCACTGACCCGCTCTCAGTCTGCATCCAGTGCTGGTCCTGTGCAGAAATGCCTCCTCCTCAGTAACAGAGAGCGAAGAATGCCATCTGTACCAACAGCTATCGCGTTCCAGACGAAACCAGACCCAACGTGCCGGTGGTAGCCATCGCTTCTGTAGTCACCAGCTGAGCCCTGGGCTGTTCACCTGCTCCAACAGAGCAGGAGAACAGATTTCAGCCCTTCTAAGTATTCTCTCTGCAGGCTGCTCTACTGCTAAGGTAGTCCTTTAAACAATCATGAAAGCAGTTTTCTTTAACACCGCTCTTCATGCCATCAGATAAGTCGGCTTACCTGGTTCACACGTGGGGATCCACCAGTCAAGAAAGACCTAGCAGTCAGCCCTTCCCCTGATGCTGCAAAAGGAGTGTGTGAAGCTGAGCGTCCAGCTCTCCAGATTGATATAAGCATTGCTTCTGAAAATAGTTCAAATGATAATAAATGTAAGTGCTGCAACATCGTATTCAGTAATACCTACACCTAACAACCCTAGGCATTATGTAGAGCCTTTGAAGACAAGAAACGTTAAAACTACTTCCTCTGGATTTCTGTAACTTCAGGGCATGCTAAAAGGTTTTTACCTGGCAGTGTTACCTAAGCAGAAGTTTAGTTTCTTTTCCATCTCTTGATGGCATTAGATATGCTTGAAATCAAGAAGGAGCTGGATGGGATACAGAAAGCCATGCCCATTATCCTGCACTAGCGACTGGTGCTGCTTGCACCTGCTGCAAGGAGAACTGGTTGGAAAAGGGGAGGGTGGAGGAAAAGCACAATTATTTTCATGAAATTCCATTTCTGTTTTTCAGTGATGTTTTCTGATCGACTCTAGCAGCAGGGAGAACCCAGAGCCCTGGGCGGAGTTCTTGACAGATCAGTGAAGGAGGATTTACATTTTTTAAAACTTGTACTTGTCGGTATTAGGTACAAACACACATAGCAACTCATTCTGCATTTTCCAGCGATGATTATCATCACTTGTTTTTGCCAGGCTTGGGACACTGTTTATGTAACTGTGCAGCTTTTGCTATGTATTCCTTTGATCTATAAAAAGCTGTTGAAAACCTCAGTAAGTTAATGAATTATGGTGCAGATCTCCCAGCTGCTGGGAAGTCTCACGTTCGTTGTGCATGAGCTCTGTCTTCCCAGCAGTTAGTCATGTATGCCCTAACCCACACCCGAGCTGGGAAAATTCAATTTACACGTGTGTGGCATGGAGTAACCCTAAATGGACTAGAGCATGCTCTTGCAAGAGGAAGCTGATGGGCACCGAGCAGCTACAGCTGAGCTTTTAGGTTTGGTCTACTGTCACTCCTTATTAAATGTTGGGAACAGCAGAACTTGAGCTCAGACCTCCAGGGAGGAATTAAATTGATACTAGAGTCCCCAACAGATGCTAATTGAAGGGATTCCTTAACCTCAGTGTAGCTAGTGTATTCATTTAAAGAATGCTGGTGCATTTTTGCATCAAAACCCTTTGTCCAGGACCACACTGATACATTCCTGGGATGTGTTTTGTTGGTGGGATTCATACCTCACTATCGACTGTCTTCTTAGGTACAACTAAAGCCAAAGGGAACTCGAAGGTGGTGACCGTGCTCCTGTGGCTCTGCGGGATGGAGCGCAAACAGGAAAACGCCGAGAACGTGGCGCCGACTAAACCCGAGCCGCTTCCCATGGCTTCCCTGGAGGAGAAACCGCTGATCAAACACGTCCTGAACATCAACTTGCTATTATGTATATGTGCCGGGCTCTTCCTCTGGGCCTACTTCGCGTAGCAGCCGGCTATTTGATTCCAGAAGACATCGACTAATTTTTAATTGGTGTAAATAATAATAACTAGCAGAGGGTTAATGTAATTCATAATGCTTTCTAAATTTTATTTCTTTATTTAAGAAGGCAGACCCCTCCTCTCTAATCCTTTCCTTATTTCTAATGGGGGCCTGGCGGTGCAAGGTGCTGAGCGCCAGGCACCATGTCCGTCAGACCCCAACACGGGGTGCGAGGAGAGCTAAGGAAGGCAGTTAGGCAGAAGAGGTTTGTTTGGTTATTTTAAATATTTAATTATGCTCTTTGGGGTCAGAGCACTGCCTGGAATTCAGGAAGTCTAGATTTTCTTCCTATTTATGCCTCTGTAACCAGCTTCAAGCACTTGTTTCCCTTTCCCATCGGCTCCTCTACCCCGGAGGGCTGAGTGCCCCAAGGGAGGAGAGCCCACCCCTGTGCCTGGGCTCTGTGGGTCTGGCTTCCTCCATCAGCACAGCGGCTCAGAACCCCCCGTGCAATTAGCACTGACATTTCTGCGAGTTTGTGCTGAATTCATGTAGCTCTGGCAGCCTCCCAGCGCTACAGCCTGCGTTACAGCCTGCCCTGGTGGGGCTGACACTGACCAACACCAACACCCAGACTGGAAAACTGCCTCAAAAACATCACCAGGGACACCTGAAGGAGCTAACCCAGCCCAGATCCACCACGTGTTGGCAGCACAAAGCCCGGTGGCAACACAAGGCCTGGTGGCACCCCCTCAAGCCTCCCGGGGCCATTCTACCAGCGCTTCCATGGCACGAAGACCCTCGGCCGGGACCAAGGACCACCACCAGCCACCCCCAGGGCAGGGTTGGCGGTGTGATTCAGCCTGTCCCCGTCACCGGGGCTTTTGTGTAACTAAAGATAAAGCTTTATTAAAGAGCGAGAGCTGATCCCTGCCTGCCTGGAGTGTGTGGGGATGGGCGACGGGGGGGGGTGTGTGGTTTGCCCGAGGCCTCGGGCCCAGCGCGGCCCCTCGCGGCCTCCACCGGCCCCTCACGGGCTCCAGGCCCCGCCGGCCATGTCGGGGCCGTCGGACTCGCCGGAGCCGCCGCAGCTCGAGCGGCGGAGCCTGCTGGCCGTGTGGCGGGAGCGGCGGAACCGCGCCGCAGAGGTGGGACGGCGGCGGGGGCCGGGCCGGGGCTCCTCGCTCAGGGCCGGGCGGTGCGAGCCGGCCCGGCCTCGGGTCTCCTCTCTTCCCCGCAGGGCCGGTTCCCGCTCCACAGGCTGCTGGTGGTGGCCCGGCCGGGCGAGGGGGCGGCGGCGGAGGAGGTGGCAGGTGGGTGGCCCAGCGGGGAGGGGACAGTCGCCCCCCGTAGCCCCACTCGCCCATGGCCCCCAGCACGGCGGGGCTGCACGGCCGCGTTCCTGCTGGGCCCTGGGGGGCGGGGAACCCCACCTGCTGTGCTGTCCCGTCATAAAATTTCTTAAACGCATTAAATATTGCATGGTTATTGCAAATACCACCTACAAAAGCTTACGGCAGGGCTTGGGCACGGTGTAACATCATGGGCACTATGGAGCAGTGATACATAGAAGCCTCGGAGTAGCCCATAAAATAAGAAAAGACTATTTTGTTAAACCATATAAAGAGAACTGTCACTTGGGAATCCCTCCTAAGCCGATAAAACACAAGTATTAGAAACCCTGAGGGGGAGAGAGGCTTTCAAATCAGATATATTGTTTTTGCGACCAACTTTAAGTATGACTCTCTCAGGCAACTCATGTATACCAAATGCTTTGATGAGCTGATACAATAAGACAATTGGTTTTTTAAACACCTCTATCAGCTGCTGCCAATGTCCAGCAGGGGCAAGGATTCAGCTGCACATGCAAAGCTCCCTGAAGTGCTCTACATTTGTATCTACAAAGATGTATTTAGACATTTTTAGAGGAAACAAATGCTAATAGGAATTTGAGACATCGGCTACTGAAATTTTGCAGGTTTTGGTGCAGTTTTAGGAGCTAACGTGAATTGCACTGGTGCACGTCAAGAAGAGATTCCCATAGAAGCAGTGCTTTCATGTTTCTTCTAAATAATAAAATCCTGATCTGTGACTCTGTTGTCTGTGGGAGCAGAGAGAACACAGACCACACACAACGCTAATCTGCAGCAACTGTTGGTATAAGCTGACAAACTGCCAGTTTTTCTTTTGCAACAAGGTCATCACAGAGGACTGTTTGAAAACGCATTAGAAGACCACTCAGGAGAACGTGTCTCGGGTCTGCTACTGCTCTGTCCCAGCTACATTTGTCACGTATTAGAGGTAAGTTACATAAATTCCTAGTGGGATCAAGTAACCTCGATTCATCTTTGTACAAATTTGGCTTCTAAGATCCAGTGAACTACAAATATAGAACCATCTCTCCATACATAGGCTCAAAGACCTGAATAACACAGTGGTGGGTTCGGTAGCTTACCTCTGGGATTTGCTCCACCCAGTGCTTCAGATAACTGCCCCAGAACATTATGCTGACAGAATTAGACATGTTCTGTCAGACGTAACAGGAACAACCTGCATTGTCCTCAGCACTCGTGACTCAATGGGAAAGCCCATGTGGGGCAGCTGATAAATTATATTTAGATTCACAAATTAATTTGCAATACACAATTCTGTAACATCTTCTACCCTTTCCTTTGCAGTCTTGCAGTAGCACGATCCATCTCGTCATCCAAGATTTAGCTTCTCGAATTATTTTTAGATTCACAAATTAATTTGCAATATGCAATTCTGTAACATCTCTACCCTTTCCTTTGCAGTCTTGTAGTAGCACAATCCATCTCGTCATCCAAGATTTAGCTTCTCTCCAAAATCAAGGTCCTAAGTAAGTGTTTCATATCACTTAGATGAAACAAAATTTTAGCAGAAGTGGTAGAATACTTCCTCAAGGTTAAACTGAACATTAGTTATGATTATATCAAGCTTTTATTCTCCCACTCATTACCTGTTGACTGCAGAGGAGCTGACATTTTCCAGCTAACACAACATATTTTTTTCTGGATGCATCCCAGAAAATTTCCATAAAACATGCACTTTAAATAAATAATGTTCTGCTGCTGCTTCTTTTGGAATTTCTGCTAATACTGTCTGTATCAGCAGCTGCCCAGCTGCCAGCAGGCTCTCACCCAGCCCTCTGCATTGGAGTCCGTCTTCAAGATGCTGAGACTCCAACCGTCAACAGCCTTCACAGGTTTCAGAAAATAGGAAAAGCCCTTCCTTAGGAATCTGCTGTATGATTTCTGTACCCTGCTTTGTAGAAGTATTTACTGGAATTTCAAAGATTACCTTTAGAGTATTAGTCTCTGCTGTCCAGGCTGCTATTTGTCCTTGCAACACTACCCAGTCAGCCCAGCAGAGTTCAGGCAATTACTGTCTTCAGCTTAACCTGGGTGTTTCTCTAGAGCCCCATATTAATTTACTGAAATCCAGGTTCACAAAAGCTGCATAGAATTCCTATCAAAGCAAGCTACCATCACACTCCTGCATTTGCTTATTAAATCCCTGCTGCTCTTTTGCTTGTTTCTTACCCTTACATCCAACAAGTCTGCTCAAGACCCTTACGCAGACATCAGAGTACAACTGGGAAACATTTCTGCTGGCTGGGGCGGGAGGGATGCACTGTGCTGTGCATACAGTGCTCTAGCACAGCTCTAGGAATGCAAACAACTCACCATGTAGTTTATAAAAACTTGACCAGCTGATAAAAACTCCTTGCTGTACTTTGGGATGGAATTCACTCTCTTTCCACGCAGTGCTTTACTCCAGGAAATTAAAGTTTTAGTGGTGGCACACAACATCCCCACCAGACTGTTCCCAGACTGGTATGTGGCAATAGCGACGTCTCCCGTGCCATCTCCACAAGGCTCGACGCAGTCAGATTCTACAGCAGAGGTGGTGGCAGAGTGTCTTACCCTCCTACTCAAGCTGGCAGCCTACATCCAGAGTCTGGAGGTAAAATAACTGGGCTGTAAGAAATTTAGCTAGTTTTCCCCCAGTAATCCCTCCAATCCACACCAGCAGCTACACTTGTCTTTCAAGTGGAGTTTACAAGCACATACACCTGAGAGGACTCTAGAAGCAGAATTAAAAGCATTACAAAACCTCATTATTTTATTCCAAGTTTCTTTCTAGGCCTCTGTAGGGCTATTTCATAGAGCCATTTGAACCAATCAACTGCACCAGCAGAGTTTAAAGCCAGCTGAAAGTCACTCATGAAGCTGGTACCTGACATCACCTCTTGCCCCTGCCCATCGCTGGGCTCTCTTGGGAGCAGAGGATACAGTTGTGTTTGGCAAACACAGGTGTAACTTCAGCTCTGCTGTTTGGGCAAATTTCCTCAACTTTATCTATGTCATAGCCCTGTGCTCTTACTGTTGCTGTTTATTATCAAGGATGACAGCGAGGATGCCGATGAGAGTGTACACACTCTTGAACCCGAGCTGCTAATCCCAGCAGAGACAATTAACTATTTGCACAATGCTGAAGAATGTACAAGTCCAGAAGATTTTCTGAGAATTTATTTAAGTCCTTCGCAGCCTGTCCTGGATTCAGGTACCCTGCATGCAGTTTGAGACATTAAATTTAGTAACAGAACTAGAATTTTTGGCTTGTAACACAGAATTTTGAGCTACAAGTTTGTTATAGTGCTACTGTAGAGACAGGGGAAAGCAGGACTGCACCCACTGACAGATCATCTTCCCTGTCAAGAGATGTCTGAACAGGAAACAACTGGGCAGCCAATGGGATTTCAAACTGGGGCATCAACAAGACAGCAACTAAAATATGTTTATCATGATGCCAAGTGCAACGTATCTCATCAAGATCTTTATGAAATACAGTTTTATTCTGCAGTTAAGCTTGAAGCCTAGTTTAATAACTTCAGTAAAACATATCCTGGAGTACTAAGGAATTTATAGTTTAAGTAAACTAATCCAACTAGTTATATGAATGTTACCTCAATTGACTGGTTTCCTCTCCCTCCCTCTCCTTCGCAGAAACTGTATGGCCTGTTCCATCTCATTTCTCTGTGTGATCCAGGCTGTATCCAGCATTTCTCTTTGCAGCCAGGCTCACTTGTGTTTAACATGAATCTACATGTAAAGGACAGATACTCACTCCCAGTACGCTCCTGCTACAGGCCTTAAAAGAAGAGCACACTGAGCAGATGGCCATCTCAAGCCCAGGGAATGACTGTGTAACCTTCAGTGTCCATTGGAAGTAACGTTACTCACAAACTTGAATAAAGATGCCTTGAGTTGACAAAAGACAATCTTTAATTTTATAAATGTTCACCCAACTGACGAATCCAAACAGCTGTTTCAGAGTTCTTTCAAAATTCAACCTTTTTCAATGAAAGCACAAAAACCATTTCCACAGTTTCATCTTGAAATAGTTCCAAGTTTCACATAAACAAAAGCAGGCTTGGTTAATACAAATAACTAAGAAATAAGTATTAAGTACTGATCATTAAAGTAGCAATGAAATGATTAAAGATACAGTAAGTTTCCTTCTACAGTATGACAGTCCTTCAAGGCACTAGAATACATCCACAGTTTTGACAAGGTAACTGATAACCAGCAGTCACCACCAGCACTCGGGCATTTTTTGGTTCATGTTTTAAAAAGAATCTGCAGCAAATCAGTGAGGGAATGTCTCTTGCAAGGCATCTCCTTGTAATGTCTAAAAACTAGAAATAAAAGTCTAACCGTGACATTAAAAAGATTATTTCCATAATACATGCACTTTAAATAACTAATGTTCTGCTTCTTATTCTTTTGGAATTTCTGCTAATACCATCTGCATTAGCAGCAATTATGCTTCCTATGCAAGTTTCTGCAGTAATTAATTCCTTCCATCCAAGATTTTGAAAACCATTGTTGAGACACAGATCATTAAACTTCTTCTGAATGGCTAAATCACTTCCTCCGTGATGCACACGTCAAACCTCTACACAGTTTTGCGCCATATCGTCAAAAGAAGCTTTTCACTGTTAGGTCTGTTAGTTTTCCCACCAGGAGAGGAACCTTTACAAAGTCTGGGAGTTTCCGTTACAGAGCGGTGCTTTCCGTGTCATTGTCAATATCGAGCATGAGATGGTTGTGCAGTTCTTTGCTCGCTGTCTCTGTAGGGAGCTCTGGAGAAGGGTTTTGAAGTGGTTCTTGAATACTGGAATTATTGTCTGCACAAAAAATGGAACAGCAAGTTTAGCAGCCGGGACAGTGACATCTCGTTCATTAGTGTATTTCTGATGCATTTCCTTAGAAAGAAAAGGGAAAGGAAAGATCAACAAAGGCTTTTCCAACAGAGGGCTGGCACATGTGCACGTGGACACATGGAACACAAAAAGGCTAAGCCAAACTAAACTACTTGTGTTTGAATTGCTTCTCCCAAATACCTTTTTAGTGATGTACACAATAAAGAAAAACATTTCTTTCCAAAGAATAAAAGACTCCAAGTATGATTTAGTATCGGATTCCTTAATGCCCCTTATGAGTGATACTTTCTCCAGACGTTCACATCAAAACAGAACGGTCACTCAGCAAAAAAATCTGGCACCTAAATCATCAGCCACGTAACCACCACCTACAACTTCTGGAAGCAACAGGAACACGTATGGTGTCAAAAGGAGGCATTGTCACAAGAAGAGGAAGAAATTATTTAAACCAAATGCAGGTTAAACCCCTTTTTTGTGTATAACGGGGAGCACTTTGTTCTTTGCCCTTGTTCTTCCAAGGCCAGGATAATTTTGTTCGAGCCTAGGTATCCAAGAAGGACCTCAAAAATGTTGTATTTCTGGTGACTGCCTGCACTGGTAGGTAGAAGACTAGAAAAATCCATAACAGTGCAAAAAACATAATTGAAAAATTAAGTCAGTATTTTAGAAAGCTAATTTATAATAAGCCACAACATCACTTACTGCAATCCAGCAGCTGTTCCACGTAGAAACTCATTTAGATCAGTTGAATCAATAAAGAATCTAAATAAACACCTTACTTTTAAACACAGGTGGCATAGACAGGCAACCTATAAAAACCTTGACTCATATCTTGAACTTGAAGCCTTAAATTTAGGCCACAAATTACTTCATAGATGTTCAAGGTGAAAGTTTCTGAGGTAAATGACAGGGAAGAGGCGAAAGCAGAGACAGAGCTGAAGTCAGAGTGGAGCCTCCCCTGCACCCCTCTTATTGCTGCAACCTTCCCAAGGCCGTGATTCCAGAATTTATGTTTTCCTGTGAGGTATGAAGTTTTCTCCCAAGTCTCGTACCAGAATCTTGAGGAGCACCACATTTGGCTAAATTTCAGCAGTAAATGAAATCAAGCCAGAAGCTCAGAACAAACCATTAATACTGTTATGATTCATTAAAACACCATCATCTTGGAGGAATCTTTTAAATAGATTTCTCTCTGCAGCCCCCATTTGCCATTTTGAATTCAGTGTTCTGCATACGGGGCTGTACCCAGTGAAAAACGCCTTGTGGCACCTAGAACATGGTCACTGTTCAATAGACCTTTGGTAGCAATGAAGAAATAATTACTGGGGCTACTTTAAACCCCAACTTTTTCACTGAACTTCACATTCATGTGTTTTAAAGAAGTCCTCAATTCACAAAACCAAGTTTCATAACAGCAGGAGCTCTCCTTTATCCCCACTATACTGTATAGCTGCTGTTTCTACAACAGATGAAAATTTAAGTCCTTTTAAAGTCAGTTAATTTAAACTTTAGGGTTTTTTTTTAGTCATTTTTACTACTGTTAACAGAAGCAACATAACACAGAAGAATAAACTTCAATTGTATGAGTTCCCAAATTCTTCTTGTGTATTTCTCTTACTCAAAATGTTCCACACTGAGCTCGACCCCAGAAGAGATGAGCACAGAACCAGGCGGCAGAGGCACCGCGCTCTCCCTGATGGCTAACAGGGGCCACTGTTACCTTTGAACTGTCACTTAAATCAGGGTTCAAAAGGTGTACTTCCAGTTCGGATGCCAGCATGGAAGTCCCCCCCTATCACGACTGCGTATGGAAGGACGAATCGGAAAAGGAGGGAACTGAAAGCGTGAGGTGACACAGGAAAGGAGCATTTGTGACAAACAACAGTTCAAGCTACTTCAAATACAAACTGAAACTCTGTATAAAACACATGGATTTCTAGATAGGATTTTCTGTACGAGGAAGAAATACAATGTGAAACTGGCCAGTCAAAACATGAACAACTTGACACATTCTATTCTCTGATACTTTTAGTACGTTAATGTCAGAGCGAGCATCCAACAGCCATTCTTTTTGCATGCCAGGCTAACGGTAGTGCAAGCAAGCGGTGTTATTCGTGACGGGTTAGTAGTGGGCGTTAGCACACACATGATTATGAATTAGCAACATTTTTGGCCAATCATATGCCTTTTCCTTACCATTGAACTTTCCCATACAGTTCCTACTGAATGCAGGTCAAACATCTAGATTATTTAATAAAATTTTTGATTAGAATATTCTTTTCTAGGGCTTATTACTTTAATACCATAAATAGAATTTGAGGCATTACTGAAGTCCAGTACATGGACAAAGGAATTCAACAGTATCCTGAAAATAATTCAGAATTCCTGTTCTGATATTATGAAATTTGCTGGCAACTTAATTTTGGCTTCCATTCTTCCCATCTGTCTTCCCTTGCTTCACTGTTTAAGGCTGAAATTAAAACCAGCTATTTCACATTGTGAATTAGATAAGTCAGTCTATAATAAGTGCTTATATGTGCACGTGTAAATGTTAGAGCAGATCCTCTTATGTAATATGCAGTGGTGTTAATTCAGAACAAATATTAATCCTTTAAAAAAGCTAAATGTGGAAAAGGTGGATGATCCTGTACTGAGTGTTCTGCTGCAGCTAAGCCTGAAAAGCAATTCAACCTTCCCCAGGTGTTTGGTGGTTTGGTTTTTTTTTGTGAAACAGACTAGATTTTCTAGGTTCCTTTCTCAGTTTTGCTGGAGTCCTTCAGCAGCAGCTTTCTTTACTGCCTTTCCTGCACAGCAGCTTTCATACTGCTGTTTACTGTGCACAACTCACATGGCCAATTTGCTGCAGTTTGCACTTAAAAGGAATATTAAGTCTCTCCAGTTCTAACAGTTTAATTTCAATTGTTGATTTCAATATTTTTGTATATTTATCCAGACTACAGGGCAGTTTTGTACCTTGTGCCTGTAAATCAGCTGAAATGGAGTCAGCAGTAAGTTGTAATTCAGAGTTCATACCCAGCCTCTCCCCTGGGACAGATGCTTCGTTTGTATAACCTCAACTCCCCCACTAACGAAGCAGCCCCCCTGCATAGCAGCTGGGTATTATTTAGAATTCAAGTATTTCTCCAGCTACATTGGGGTAAAACAAATCCTGCTTGTCATTAAAGCAATCTCCTCAGAACCAGAAAAATGCCAAAATGAAAACAAACATGGTCAACTACTGGGGCTACTTTAAACCCCAACTTTTTCACTGAACTTCACATTCATGTGTTTTAAAGAAGTCCTCAATTCACAAAACCAAGTTTCATAACAGCAGGAGCTCTCCTTTATCCCCACTATACTGTATAGCTGCTGTTTCTACAACAGATGAAAATTTAAGTCCTTTTAAAGTCAGTTAATTTAAACTTTAGGGTTTTTTTTTAGTCATTTTTACTACTGTTAACAGAAGCAACATAACACAGAAGAATAAACTTCAATTGTATGAGTTCCCAAATTCTTCTTGTGTATTTCTCTTACTCAAAATGTTCCACACTGAGCTCGACCCCAGAAGAGACGAGCACAGAACCAGGCGGCAGAGGCACCGCGCTCTCCCTGATGGCTAACAGGGGCCACTGTTACCTTTGAACTGTCACTTAAATCAGGGTTCAAAAGGTGTACTTCCAGTTCGGATGCCAGCATGGAAGTCCCCCCCTATCACGACTGCGTATGGAAGGACGAATCGGAAAAGGAGGGAACTGAAAGCGTGAGGTGACACAGGAAAGGAGCATTTGTGACAAACAACAGTTCAAGCTACTTCAAATACAAACTGAAACTCTGTATAAAACACATGGATTTCTAGATAGGATTTTCTGTACGAGGAAGAAATACAATGTGAAACTGGCCAGTCAAAACATGA